ACATTCCATTCCATTCCTTCTTCCATTCCATTCTCACTTGACTTCATTCTCACGTACCAAACGAGGCGTTAGATCCCAAACCTATTTGAAAACCTATTTGGACTTAAATCCTAAACCCATTTGAACGTATAACTGACAAACCATATTGAAGTTAGTAGTTTTTTTTTCTACTTGGGGGTATTTTCATAACTAGCAAAGCATAGTTAGGGTTCACCCAACCATGGTTTAGTCTTTTTAACCCTAACCATAAAAGAAGGATTTTTATCGGTACATAATGAAGATTTGAGGGATGAATATCAAAATATGAAGGTTTGAGGGACTGAGATCAAAATTACTAAAGATTTAAGAGCGAATATGGAAAAAAACCCAAGCTTTAAAAATTGAGGAAATAAATATATATAAACTAAAATAACTATAACAAAAGATAAGATCCTTCAAAAAAAGATCATTCGCGCTCTAATAACTTGAAGTTTTACAATTTTTATTTTCATGTGATGGAGTTCTATTTTGAGAATTTGATACTTCAAAGTTCACAAATTTTACGTTAATTTGATAATCTGACACTCATAAATCCTAACTTTATTCCTATTTTTTCCAAACTCATAAAACTGAATTTTCACAAGAAATACTTTCTCATTCACTTGTTTGCACTAGGTTTTAAGCACATGCAATGCACCTAATTAAATACCATGATTAAGTTTTTTTTTTTTCATTTCTAAAATTTGTGCCTTAGTTCCTATTTTTTAGATTTTGCTCACTCTTGTCTCTAAACTTTAAAATTATGATTATTCATTTTTTATGTTTGTTTAAATAGGCTACATCGAATTTAAATTTTCATATTGATAATTAAACTTGATATGAAATAAATGTAATCCAAAGCCAATTTTAATTTCATGTTTTTTGGGCCATCATGAAACGAATCTTAACTTGAGAAAGTATAGTGATGCAAAAGTGAAAAACGCTTGAAAAATTAGTGTTATAAAAGGAAGATGAATAATTAAATTCAATAAGACACAATGATTGATTAAAAATGGTTAGAACGTAACTAAAGAGAATATGAAGTTTGCTCCTATCATTGATAGGCTTCATAAAAAATCATAAACAAAAGATTAATGCTAACTCTAATATACTTTTATATGATAAAAACATCCACATAAGCATATACAAGTACTAAAAAGTTTATGAAAATCTCTTCTAAAGATTTCTAATTTTACTCAAAAAATTATACTATTTTATAGAATATTCAGAAAAGAGGTCTTTTTTTCCTTTTGTGTTATTTTTTTATTGAGTCAAAATCAATCCTTCTCTACCTTTATATTTTTCTTGGGCAATTCTAGAGTAGTGTTTTTATCATCTACATCTATTTTGACGTCAGACTGGAGCTAAATTTTCTGTTGTTATTATCTTTCCCTGGGCTTGTTCATTTTTATCTTCTCGTCTTACTTTACGAAGAAGTTGAAATTATTTCCGATGTTCAACACAAACTTCTAAAATATGAACTTTGATTTTTTTTCAATAAGAATAAATGTTAATTTTATACACATGAAGTTTTGTGTTTCTAATTTATTATTACTTAAATAAGGGTTAGAGTTAGCTCTTTTTTGTTCTCTATAATGAACTCTTCTGTTGTGTATCCAATAACCTACGTCAAATAAGTTACATTTGCTCTATCTGTGTCAATTTCCACAATAATTTGAACTAAATAATTATATTTTTCATTGTCAATTTTCCTTAGATTATAATGTTAGTATTTGATTTTGATATATTTATTTCATGAAGATGGGATATTACTTAACCTTGGTACTACTTCATCGGCAATTCTGTGGCATTTATCATTTGGACACTGTTATTACCATCTCTATCACCTTCCTGTTGCAGACTTTGCAAGTGTAGAGCCATAGCTCAACTCTATTGTAAATGGTAATTATCTTTACGTTATAGGTGCAATAATGTGTCTGTATATTGGTAAATAATTTTTAGGTTTAGTTGTGCAAATTTTAGAGTATGTCTTGTAAGATCATACCTCTTTCGAATGTTGTGATGATTGAATATGTCAACAATTTGAATTTGTGTTGCATTTGTAAAGAGACCTGCTTATTAGCTTTAAAATATATTTTTTTCCTTTATTGTGTTATGTGGATGTTCACTTGGTTTACTTATCATTCTCTGATTTCTTTAGTAAGTTGTATTTTTAGGTTAATATATATTATTAATCTAATTAACGATAACATGCATATCTCCTCTATAAAATTGAAATATATATAAGGTGAATTTTATGTTTAGTGGTCTTTAATAAGAATTTTAATAATGAAATATGTTGCCTTCATATTTAAAGATGTCGAAATCTGATAGTGCTACATGCTTATCTTTGATCGTGTGTTCAAGAATTGATCTTAGAAAAAGGTAAAATGTCAATTTTAATTCTTTTTTCTTATGTTATTGTAAATAACTATCATGTATATACATCTTATCCATTATAGTGATTTCTCTCCTCTTATCTGGGTTGTTATATCTCACAACATAGTTGATCAATGGCTTCACTTTAGTTTTTATTGCAAGATTATTTTGTATATGATATTATATTAAGTTTATGATTCCTTTAGTATTTGAAGAATAAAGTATAAAAATTTATAAATACTTACTAATTTTTTATCTTTCGTTGAGAATGCTTCTCTGATTGGAACAAAGTTGTTCAATATGTTGTTCAAGGGGAACTCTGTCGGTGTTTCTTTGATAAACATGTCATTTATCAATGTCAATTCAAGTGATTCATGAATGTTTTTGAGTTTTTAGTTTATTTTCTTCACTTCTCCATTTGAAATGAAAACAACTTAATTCTTTTGAAGGATATATCTAAACTTTTTGATAGTTTCTCTCCATACATAACTCATTATATTTTTTTACCTATACATATTATTAACATCAGAGATCAATGTTTATACATTATAGTCAATTAACTCTAGGCTATTATATTGCAGTCTTTTATTAGTTTTATGTAATTTAGCCTTCTATCAATTAATGTTATTAATAAAATTATATGCATCTCCTTTAATTTATACAGTGACGTTAATTTTTAATCTATCATATATTTTTTAAATTTTTATTCCTTAACTGGATGTTTTTAATCTATTATTATTGCTATTTTTTCACCAGCATCGACTTAGGTAACTTTTAGATGCTAAAAAAGGATAATAAACTTTAAATTGGAAGTTAAATTTACATATCTTAATGAAATATTATCAAACACTTACTATTTTCCTTGTGAAGTTTAGAAATTTCAATCTTTGTTAGTGATTTTGAACTTTTAAGGGTATATCTCTCATATTTTGAAACTTTAATAGTGTTTTTTAAAAATTTAAATTTTAAGTTAGCTATATGTAATTTCCATATTTCATGTGTTAGTGGTAAGTTTTAAAATGTTAGGATATTTCTTGCAATTCTAAAACTTTGAGGGTGTTTTTCTCAATTATTAAAACTTTGGGTTGTTTTTTACAAAATTTAAAGTTTTAGCAATCTACTAATAATTTCTAGATTTGATGTGTATTGATTACAAGTTTTAAAATTTCAGGGTTTTTAATGATTTTTAACTTTTGAGTGAGTTTTTGTAAGCTTTGTAACTTTGAGGACATTTTTACAAATTTTAAATTTTCAAGTGCCTGATGGTACCCCCTTGAATTTATCTATATTGTTTACAAGTTTTAAATTTTCAGAATTTGATGATGTTTTCTTATAATTTAAACTTTTAAGGTTATTTCTATATTTTTTGAAATGCTAAGGGTGTTAATTGCAAATTTTAAGTTCTTCGACGGCTGTTGTTAATTTCTAGATTTTATGTTTATTATTTTTAGTTTTGAAAAGTCAGGTTGTTTTGTGTAATTTTGGATTTTTGAGGGTATTTTATAGAACTTTTGAATCTTTTTGGGGTTTTTTAATACTAAATGTATTATAATATGTTAGCTACGTATGATTTCTTAATCTTTTTTTTTAATTGTTGAGCTATAAGTAGTTCACATGGGATTAGTATAGCATATAATTAGTATTAGGATAGATTAACAATTAATAAAATATTAAAATAGTAATTAATTGCTAATTACATGCACAAACTACCCGAAGACTTGCATCTGACGGCACCTTCATAGCCGTTTGAGACATGGGCGATGGATATCGTCGGACCGATATCTCCTCCATCGGCTAAAGGTCATCGATTTATCCTTGTGATAACCGACTACTTCTCCAAGTGGGCCGAAGTTGTCCCCTTAAGAGATGTCAAAACCAGCGATGTGATCAAGTTCATCAAGCATCACGTCATCTACTAATACAACGTCCCAAGGCACATCATTCATGACAACGGATCATAATTCGTGAGTCATGCCTTCACTCGGTTCTGTAACAAATTCAGAATACAAAACCTGGTATCCATGACTCATAATCCCTCAGCAAACGAATTAGCCGAGGCTTTCAACAAGATGATCATTAAGATTTTGACCAACCTGACCTCCAATAGCAAGCGTGACTGGGATAAGAAGCTAGGTTAAAGCTTATAGGTGTATCAGACCATGGTTCGTACGCCGACTGGCGCTATACCTTACTCATTAGTATACGGTTGCGAGGCTGTGTTGCCACTCAAAATTTAGATTCCGTCCCTATGCGTCACACTTGCAACGGGGATGACGACCGAAGAAAGTCATCAATGGCATCTCACCGAACTCGAGGCGTTAGATGAAAAACGGCTTGAGGCTCAACAACACATTGAGTTCTATCAAGTCCGAATCTCCAAGGCTTTAGATAAGAAAATCAAACACAGATTCTCAGTTGTGCCAAATTAATTGTTTCCACTTCTTATAGCATTTCAGTTGTGCCTATAAACCTTTGAGGTTGAACTAGAAATAACTTCCAATTGTGACAATCATAAAAGAAAATATTTCATTTAAGGGTTCAAACTGATACATAACCAAGTTGTAGCATACAAGAAGAGTCAACACAAATGTGTCAAAAAACAAATACTAGTCTTTGGATAATCCAACATGGAGTACAAGAAATTAACCATAGTACACAGAACAACAAAAATTAACTTTGCTGCATTACATATGGCTTGGGAGACTCATCATCTTCAGAAATTGAGTACTAGTACTACTGCAAAAACAGAAATTAACAACACCAAAATTACAACTAAAACAAACATGATAAAGTAAAAACACACGATTGCAAGATGTATAACTTACCAGCTTTTTAAAGCATAACAACTTTGTCTGATGGCCAAGCTATTGTCGTACCAACGGCATCTTCAATTAATTTTGCAATGTGCATATATTCTTCTATCATTTGATGTTGGCAATGCCTGTAGTTTTGCAAACAGGACACAAGTTTTTCATCATCAGCCACTGTTTTATGCAAGCGGTGTGGAAATCATGCCCACGGTCCAGTCTTCCGACCTCGTCCTCTTCGACATACTCTTCCTGTCAGAAACCGGAGGAAATTTCGTTGAAAGAGATGTTGATTTAAAAATATATGCACCGTGAAGTATTAACATGGATAAATTTTGCTTGTAATAATAAAATGCTTATAATAAAATGCTTATAATAAAAATGCTTAATTTGAAAGTTCATGATTTTTACCGGAATTTATAAGGTGTAGGTGACTGAAACAGCCAAACGTTGTATACGTGTACAAAGAAACGAACATAAATCAAATTTGCTTGTAATAATAAAATGCTTATAATAAAATGATGTTGATAGAGAAAAGTAAATGAAGGTTCTCATATTTTCCACATCTCAAGTTATGCTTGGAATTTTCCTATATCTCCTCAATTAATTTCTACTTAATCTTGAAATCAATGATGAGGCAAGGAGTTTCATCTTCCCATTCTAAATAGTATCAAAGTAGTACCAAAAGCATAGAACAATTAGTATTATTACTCTTTACCAAAATAGCAAATGTTAGCTTATCAAAAGTCAGGTAATAGCAAATGTCTGCAAAGCTATTGTATAAAACAAACTTCCTCCCAAGAACTTTGGGGATGTTATTGCACAAAACGCCCCCAAAACTTTATAAATTAGAGAAACACTATGCTTCTTTTGCTACCAACAAAAATTAGTTTTAGTCATCATATGTTTTGCATGAGACATGTTCTAGACAATTTTGGCCTTGTATAGTTTTTCTCTTGCCGAGTTTTTTTGGGTTAGGTTGATAGATATATATAAGGGTAGCTAGGTCTTTCACCCTTCAAAGTAACACCATTTATGACAATTCCAATAGTTCAGAGGGGTCTGTATAATTTTGAAAGTTCATGATTTTTACCGGAATTTATAAGGTGTAGGTGACTCAAACAGACAAACGTTGTATACATGTATAAAGAAACAAACATAAATCGAATTTGCTTGTAATAAAATGATGTTGATAGAGAAAAGTAAATGAAGGTTCTCATATTTTCCACATCTCAAGTTATGCTTGGAATTTTCCTATATCTCCTCAATTAATTTCTACTTAATCTTGAAATCAATGATGAGGCAAGGAGTTTCATCTTCCCATTCTAAATAGTATCAAAGTAGTACCAAAAGCATAGAACAATTAGTATTATTACTCTTTACCAAAATAGCAAATGTTAGCTTATCAAAAGTCAGGTAATAGCAAATGTCTGCAAAGCTATTGTATAAAACAAACTTCCAAAAGTTAGGGGAAGAAAAATTGCTAAGAGATCAAATAGGCTTATACCTGACAAATGCAGCATGATTCAACATCACTAGGGGTTTCCTCGGTAAGGGAAATATATTTCCTCTGCTTCAGGCACTTCACAATAGTTATCTCAAGTTATGCTTGGAATTTTCCTATATCTCCTCAATTAATTTCTACTTAATCTTGAAATCAATGAGGCAAGGAGTTTCATCTTCCCATTCTAAATAGTACATCAAAGTAGTACCAAAAGCATAGAACAATTAGTATTATTACTCTTTACCAAAATAGCAAATGTTAGCTTATCAAAAGTCAGGTAATAGCAAATGTCTGCAAAGCTATTGTATAAAATAAACTTCCAAAAGTTAGGGGAAGAAAAACTGCTAAGAGATCAAATAGGCTTATACCTGACAAATGCAGCATGGTTCAACATCACTAGGGGTTTCCTCGGTAAGGGAAATATATTTCCTCTGCTTCAGGAACTTCACAATAGTTTATTCACTAATTCCAGTGCTCACATTTCCTATTCTCTCTGTCAATGCAAGTAGCTCCTGTGAAAAGTTAATTAATGTCAATGTTAAAAGTAGCTTACAAATATGAAGAAATTGATCGGCGAGCAACATAACTTTCTCTTATGACTTACCTCATAAGACATTATCAACATCAAGCCTCATATCTCTATGCCTGTCATATAATAACACTCTTTGTACAGCCTATTTGAAAATTTTATGTTAGTTTCTACTACGCAAAGGGACGATGACCATACAAAACCACTAATTGGCATAACTGTTGGAGAAAATGAAGACTAAAAATTGGCATGCATTACCAAATAAGAAAGATGATTCTGAACTCTGAACCAAAACAATAGACAAACTAACATGCGTCTAACTAGCTTCAGTCATCTAATAAGTGTGATCAGTAAAAAAGAAAAATCTGTCAGCCTTTTAGATGAAAGTCTGCAAAGAGGGTTGAAGGATGAGCATTCATGGTGTGTGTACATATACACATGGATATGTGTGGGTTGTGCATGTATATACATATACATGTGTGACTTCAATGTATTGTGCGCAGAATGTGACATGTATTCCACAACCATTTTTAAATCAGTGCAAGCAATTAAGATATCACTGCAAACAAAATAATGAATCTTGTCCAAGCAAGACATAACACAAACCAATGAAATTCCCAAATCTGGTACCCACGAAAACCTGTCCTTCCTCCCTATATAATCCTCAACAGGGGCCGTCTATATGATCTTTGGCGATAAAGATGGTAAATTTTTATATAGATAAATGTCCTTATTCTCTTATTCAAAGTGGATAAATGTCCTTATTCTCTTATTCAAAGTGTTGCAATGATGTAATATTTCCTTGAAAGGGGTTAACTGTACAATGATAGTGCCATTATACAAAATTGGTGCAGTTTAAATCAAAGGTATAAATGTTAGTCTATGAACAGATGTTAGAAACTTCATGTACTAAAAGAATAACAATAGTTCTCAAAAAAGAAATCATGGTGAAAAGTAACAAGAACATGTAGATAATAAAGTTCAATAAAACACTACTCAAATTGCAACCTTGAGAACCAAGACCAATTGAATGCACTGGATAGTTGTATAGAGTATTAAGATCAGCTAAAAACAAGGAAAAAAATTATCCACTAAGATGGATGATGAGTTTCAAGAATTCAAGTAAACTTTTAGCTTAAAGACCATAAAGACATATAGGTGACAGAAATTCAGTACATACTGTAGATATGCATCAAAGGAAGCCTATACCAACAATGCATCAGTATCTGTTCTAGTTGGGTTCAGCTGAAAAAGAAGAGGAAAAACAAGAAGAAGAAGAAAGTAGCAATAGCACTAATAGTAACAGGCAATGCATAATAATTCCAAAAGCTCTTTTCCTCTAACACACAGGACATTAAAATGATAGTTTCCATTCTCACAGAAAAATAACAAAGAAAATAGTTTCACAGTAAGGATATTTTCAATGTCAAAATCAATAGAAATGCACGACTCAATATCCATCTGAAATATAAATGATAAATGGTTAGCAAGATGAAATTTCATAACTCTATTCTACCTGATACATGTCAAATAAGTAATCTTGATATATCAAGTTTCGAACAAACAGAACGCCATTAAAATTTGACAGGAGAATATGAAAATAGTAAACATAAGGACTGAAACATATATGAAGCAATTTACAACATCCAATATAAAGCAAAATGATGATTAAATTTTATTTTCCAGTTTTGCAGGCAGGATGACACTATCAAGATTTGTTCATATAGTGTCAATTTTAATTATTCTATATCAATAACAGTACCAATAAATCAGCCAAATCAGTATAACAGTGTTGCAATGATGTAATATTTCCTTGAAAGGGGTTAACTGTACAATGATAGTGCCATTATACAAAATTGGTGCAGTTTAAATCAAAGGTATTCAATTGATACTAATGGAAGTAGTATTCCACATGTTTTCAATCAAGAATTGATCATGTGTAGTGATTAATTTGTGAACAAATAAACTTCTATATATTTTCTCTTGTGAAAAGAAATTTACAAGTTAAATTAGATTTAAAACATACCCAACTAGCGATATCGCTTTCGGATCATATCACTCCCTGAATCCTCATCAATCTACACATATACATTCCCATAATAAAAACAAATAAAACATAAATTAATGAAAAAACCCAGAAAAATGAATAAAAATAGGAAATAAAATACTCACTTTTAGAATAAGATACCAATTAATGAATCCAGGCTTCTGGGTCGAACTCCGATTAAGTGGAGGAGAAGGCCAAATTAAGTGGCGATTAGGTTTTTGATGGAAAGGGGGATTAGGGTTAGGGTTTTCACCGAAGAGGAGGAGGGAGCGACAGAGCTTTGAGCGGCGGTCCAATCGAGCGGTCGGTCTACTACTGAAGGAGGAGGAGGAGCTCGAATCAGGGTTTTTAGGGGAGAGGAGGAGGTGGCGAGAGAGCTCCGACGATGACGACGACGACACGAGGAGGAGGGCGACGATGGTTTTGGAGACGAGAGAGGGAGTGAGGGAGCCCTAGTTTTGGCGACAAGACAGGGAGGGAGGCGGCGAGAGAGCTCTAACGACGACGACGAGAGTAGATATGCATCAAAGGGAGCCTACACCAACAATGCATCAGTATCTGTTCTAGTTGGGTTCAGCTGAAAAAGAAGAGGAAAAACAAGAAGAAGAAGAAAGTAGCAATAGCACTAATAGTAACAGGCAATGCATAATAATTCCAAAAAGGCTCTTTTCCTCTAACACACAGGACATTAAAATGATAGTTTCCATTCTCACAGAAAATAACAAGAAAAGTAGTTTCACAGTAAGGATATTTTCCAATGTCAAAATTCAATAGAAAGGCACGACTCAATATCCATCTGAAATATAAATGATAAATGGTTAGCAAGATGAAAGTTTCATAACTCTATTCTACCTG